AATTTTGATGGTTGCTCTAGTGGTAACCCCGGGCTAGCTGGGGCTGGGGGTGTATTCTGAGACCATGAAAGGAACATTCTACTCATGTACGCTGAATCCCTTGACTTTACTGACTCACAAAATGCTGAAGCAAAGGCAATGCTGATAGGGCTCAAGCATTTCAACCCATCTTGGGGATCCCACTTGATTGTTGAAGGGGACTCATACAACATCATTTCTTGGGCATTTGGAAAGTCTTTACCACCATGGTATCTACTGCCAATCTTTGATGTGATTGAATTCATTTGCAGGGGTATTAACGTCTTATGGAGGCATACATTCAGGACGTCCAATGCTCTCGCAGATCTCATGGCCAATGACGAAGCTGATCTTACAGATAATCTTCGACCTTCTTAAGCTAGCTGGGCCTTTTTCTCTTATTTGTGCTCTACTCACTTCACGTTGTAAATAGAGTCTTCCACCATTTTTGCTGAGCCAACTCATTGTTGTCACATGCATTTAACTCTTTTATGGCTTTTTTGTAAAGGGATTACCTTGCCCGTTAGGGTCTTGGTAGCTCCCCAATTTTGTAAAGGAAGCTAAGACCCAACGCTTGTAAAATTTTTTTCTTCAATGAAATAGTTAACTTTCTTAAAAAAAAAAACTTAGCAATGTAATAGAAACGATTGAAACTTAGAAGAATATAAAAATACTAAGAAAAACGCTAAACAAATAATAAGTAAGGTAAACTTAAAGCATATAATAATCTATATAGTAAACTGGGAATAAAAAAAAGTGAAAAAGATATCTTTAAATTAGCAAAAATGAGAGATAAAAAATGTAGGGATCTAGATCATATTAGATATATTAAAAGTAAGAATCAAGTGAGGATGAAGAAGTCAACAGAAGGTAGAAAAATTATTTTAAAAAGCTATTAAATGACGAACGCAATGGGAATATAGCAGTAGAAGGAAATGTTGTCATAAATTAGGGCAGAGGTTGTACAATCATAGGATTAGGATATTGGTAGTGAACGAAGCTTTGAAGAGGATGAAGATATGAAATGCTTTAGGACTGATGGTATCCCAATAGAGGTTTGGAAGTGTATAGGGGAGACCAGCATTGACTGGTTGACCAAGCTGTTCAACAAAGTATTGAGAATAAAGAGAATGCCATATGAATGGAGGAAAAATGTTGTACTCGCTATTTACAAGAACAAAAGAGACATATAAAATCGTGCGAACTATCAAGGGATCAAACTTATGAGCTACACTATAAAGCTGTGGGAAAGAGTAATTGAGCAACGACTAAGGCATGAAATGAATTTATCAGAAAACCAATTAAGTTTTATGCTAGTGAGGTCAACAATTGAGGCTATTTTCCTACTTAGGTAACTTATTGAGAAGTTTTGGGTGAAGGAAAAAGATCTCCACATGGTCTTTATTGATCAAGAGAAAGCTTATGATAGAGTACTTCGAGATTTAATTTGGTGGGTGTTGAAAAAGAAAGGAGTCTCTGGATACTAGGTGTGAGATATATACGAGGGAATGCTAACAAGTGTGTGAACAACTAGTGGAGAGACGAGTGAGTTTTCAATGACAATAGTTTTACATCAAGGGTGAGCATTAGCCCATACCTCTTTGTCTTAGTTATAGACGATTTAACTAGGCACCTACAAGATGACGTACCGTGGTGTATGTTGTTCGTGGACAACATAGTTTTGATCGATGAGACCCAAAGAGGTGCCAGCAAAGTTAAAACTTTGGAGGGATGCTCTAGAATCTAAAATTTTTAAAATTAGTTGGACTAAGACAAAGTATATGGAATGCAAGTTTAGTAATAATAGGTGTAGAGATGTGGAAGTAGTTAAGTTTGACGACCAAGAAGTACAAAAAAGAGCACATTTTTTATATCTTGGGTTGATAATCCAGACAAATAGAATAATTAAAAAAGAAGTTGCACATAGAATTAGAGCTGGGTGGGCGAAGTGGGAATGTGCAACTGGAGTTTTATATGATCGCCGCGTATCAATGAAGCTGAAGAGCAAGTTCTATAGGGCAACTGTGAGATCAACTTTGCTTTATGGAGCAGAATGTTAAGCGGTCAAGAAACAACATATGCGTAGGATGAGTTTAGCTGAGATGAGGATGTTGAGATGGATGAGTCGCAAGACAAGAAGGGATAGAATTTGAAATGAATACATTCAGGAGAACTCCAATGGGCGATAAGATGAGAGAAAGTAGACTTAGGTGGGCTTGCTATGTGCAACGGAGACCCAATACAATACCTGTTAGGAGGTGCGAGTTAGTTCAAAAAAGGCGAGGGATAGGCCCCAAAAGGAAATGGTTTGAAGTAGTGAGGAAATATATGGGTACTTATGGCTTCATTGAGGGTGTGGCCCTTAATAGAACAAAATGGCGGGCTAGGATTCATGTAGCCGATCCCAAATAGTTAGAAAAATGCGATGATGATGATGATTTTTTAATAAACATTTAGACTCCAAAACGAGCAATTAATTTTTTTTTAAAATTTACTAGCCAAATCTCTCCGTAGAAACTAGATGGTCTATGACAAACAAAGCAACAAAACTATATTTTTAGTTCATTTCCAAAATTACAATAATGTAACTTTAAAATTTACTAGAGCTTAGTGGGTGTTCTTGAACACTTTCTTCTTCTTCCAAGCGTTTGATGTTCTGGCCATCTTTGCTTGTAAGGAATATTGTACATGAAACAATTTTTTCTAATGAAATACTTCTATTATACTTAATGGTTGAGATTTGGCTACTTGATGTATTTTCAAGACATTATTCCTTGAATCAATATAACCGCATATCTAGCGAGCTTTCGTAGCAATGCCTTAAAACATTTTCTTGAACTTTCAAATTTTCAGGTGTTTGGTCTGGTACTTACATTATTTAATCATTTTTAAATGTTGTTTTGCATTTCTTCAACATTGCATTTTGTTGAGGTGGGCGCCTTGGTGGGTCTGGGTGCCCGCCTAATGCTCCCCCCAGGTAAAAATAAGCTACCAAAAGAAAAAAAGAGCTAATGCCTATTTAGGGCCTTTCTTTCTCTCTCTCTGTCTCTCTCTCTTATGGGCCCATGTACCCTCTCCACATATTAGAAGAAGAAGAAGAAGAAGTGGCCTTCAAGTGTTCAATGCAAGGCCTCTCTCTGTCGCTGACACACATACACATACACACTCAAAGACACATATAGACCCATATGCTCGCTCTTTACATATAAAAGGAACAAAAAGTAGAAGATGACCTCCAAGTGTTCGATGCGACCTCCCCCTCTCTCTCTATGTATTAGATGAAGAAAAAGGAATGTCCTCCAAATGTTCAAGACCTCCCTCTCACAAACACAGTTCCTTATGCTCTCTCTCTTTTACTCTACATACAAGATGAGATACAAAGAAGATATTTTTAAGTATTTCATGTGAGGCCTCACACACATACTTGTGCACGCACACATAGACACAACAAATGCTGCCCCCCCAAAGAAAAAGGAACAAAAAAAAAGACTGCCTCTTCTCTCTGGGCAGCCGCCTTTGCCTTTTTGAACATTGCTCTGGGTTCTGTTTTTCTTGCTTGCTTTGCATCTCATTCGCAAAACGCATCTTCAGAAGGTAGCTGCCCCCTGTCTGGCAAAGACACTCATGAAGAATCCATTGAGAAGGGTGGTGGGTTAGATGGGGATCATTGGGTTAGGAATTTCTTATAGGGGTGGGGTCCTGTGATTTAAATCCCGTATAATAGTGAATAATAATTATCAAAAAAATTTGAACTTTAATTTTTGGATTCTTCTAAAAGCAACGCTGCACCTAATAGGAAAACTGTAGATGCGGAATAGTGGTTGTCAGATTGTTGGACAAATTTTATTATGGGTTCTTCATTATGAAAACCTGACGAAGAATCCAACACTTGCTGCAAAGATTGTTGAATTTTTTATGTCAATAATATTGGAAGAAAGTCTTTCACTTCGCAATATGCTTGGTAAAAGTTTGATACCTGAAAAATGATGAAGTATTGGATTCGTTGTGTTTTGGAAGAATTACATTTCACTCATTCTGTGGATCATGCAATGTTGTCCAAGGAGGTCCTTGTAGATGCCTTCTCCAACATGCCTACGCAGAAGGATCCTCCTGATTTAGCTGTCCACTAAGGAGCCAAAATGGTGAGGATATACTTGTAAGTGATTTATCTTGATGGAGTTCTTGGAGCAACACAGAAACTCTCTATCTACAAATTTTGATCATGGGAGCACTTATTTATCCCTTTGTTGAATTTTGTCCAGTTCATTATCACTACTTACAGCTTGTGACCTTCAAATGGAATCATCGTTCATGTGTGGCTTCAGTCATATGATTAGGAAATTGAAGGGTTGCCAACCAAGTAACTATGGCTTGTGCATTATATGCATGAACTTTTGTTAGTATTTTGTAGAAGTTATAGGTGAATCTCATGTTGACAACTATTGATAAGAAAGACCAAAATGGACAACTAGCTGCTTTTTCGATTATTAGACATTTTGGCCCAAACGATCATGATAATCACCTTCAGTTCCTAGGAGTAAATAAGTCCAACCACCACAAGACTGGATTTCCACTTGCAATATGTAGTCAGTACTCTTCTTTTTTTTGGGTAAGTGTAGTCAGTACTCTCTTTATGTGCTTTATATGCATAAAGTGAGACTTTCAATTGCAAGTCATCAATCCTTCTTTATGCTATTAGGTTTTATCCTTAATTATTTTCAGAATTTCTTATTTTCCATTTCGATGAGATGTGCTATGTCATATTAATGGTGCTCCAAAACTATTTTAGTTTAATGGATGACTTCTTTATCTGTGTATGCTTGTTTTTGGTTCATCATTGTGAGGCCTGCATTTTTTCACCAGTACTGTTTTCTCTCCTGAGTTTTTGTTTCATTGCCATTTGAATGCATTCAAATTCTTGATGATTTCTTCTGTTGGAATTATTGTGACTTTAGTAATTTGTCCATTTATTGATTTTAAAGGTATTGGCATGAGTTCAATGATTTCCAGTTCCAGCTTACAATGCATCAGGTATGTTGTACTTTTAAGGTTCTATGTTGTGCATGGTTGTCCTTTATTAATCATTTGTGGAAGAATATCTCTACAGATATGCTAGAAAAGTTTGGGTAGAATAAAGTTGCGACCAATGTTCAGAAAGTGGTTCCAAATTTGAGAGATTCATCCTTGGGCTTGGAACCTTAGAAAGAATCAACTAATACATATATAGTATAGCCAAGTGGATGGGGAAATCATAGAATTCAAAAGAGAGGTAAAAAAGAAATTATTCACAGAAATTAACTATTAACAAAGATGCATGAAATAAAAGATAGGATGTTTTTTATTTCCTTTTTAATTCTTTTCCTTATGTTCCAAATTACATCATTTTTTGCATCTCGTATATTATTATTTTCCTTAACATAATTTTTTGTGAGGGGGGATCCATGAGACAACCAAAGAATTTTAATGTCCAACTAGCCACCTTTTGAAGGTTTTCTTTTCCTCTGTTTTTTATTTTTATCACCTAGAGGACTTGGGCAAGGGGAACCTCTATTGCCCTTTATTTTCACATTGGCAGCTGATATGTTTAGTCGCCTTGTTGACATACCCTTAAATTTGGGCTGATTGGGGATTTCTCAGTGACCTTGAGTGGTTCTCGTTTTACTCATTTTAGTTTATAGATGACACTTTGGTTTTTATGATACAGGCCACATCTCAATAGAAATATACGATTTATGTGTTAGAGGGTGATTTCAGGGCTCAGAATCAACGTCTGGAAAATTTCCATGTTAGATGTGGTTTTTGAATAGATATAACCTTATGTGGCTTGCCAGGTGACTAAGATGTTAGTTCGTATGTTCATAACTTTATACCTCATGTTTCATCTTCTGTATACTTGTAAGCCTAAGAAGAGATTATGAGATCCATTAATTGGAATGGTGGAAGGCAGATTACTCTCTATAAGGGAGGATTACACTTAATGGTTCCGATCTTGCTTATTTGCTGATATACTTTATACATGTAGTCCAGATGCTTAATAGTGTCACCGAGAGATTGAAGACGTTGCAATGTGAATATTTGGAGCACCTGTTGGAATCTCGTAAGTCGCTTCTGATTATGTGGAAAAGAGCAAGTAAAAAAAAGAGAGTGGGGACTGGGAATCAGATGGTTGAGAGATGTTAGTGGGCACTTCTAGGAAGGATTCCATGTGGACTGGTTTGCAAGGAGGAGGCACTATGGAAGGATGTCATTCTAGCTAAGTACAGTTTATTGGATTTAAGTTGGGGGACTAGAGGACTGAGAAAATAAGCTAGTGTTAGTGATTTGAGTCTAAAAGAGTGGTGGAGGGTGAGAATAATTCATGCATTGGATTTAGCAGTGGGGATCAGAGTTAACAAGTCAGTAAATATCAATATATCGGCTTACCATAAAATAAAAAATAAATCGGTTTTATTTTAAAAAGTCGGATGAAAATATTGGGTCAGAAATACAGATCCGAAAAAATCCTTTATGTAAAAATGTCATGAATACATCGGATTAGGCTAAAAAAATAGGAGCGGGAAAAATAGATGAGTTTAAAAATTTTAAAATTCCAAAAAATAAAAAAATATGCCAAAGCCATCAATAAGTAATCCATCCATGAAAACTTTACTAAACTAATATAATTAAGTCAATCAATTTAGATGTCTTATGAATATTATCCCATCATCCAAAAGTTAATACAAAATTTACTAGATAGATTCAAGATTAAACATAAGGGATGCTAGAGTCATCAAAATTAATCGAAAAGTTAGGAGTTTGGGAAGGTGTAAGCCCCAAGTCATGTAGTCATGCATAATCATCATAATCATCTAAAATTTTTCGTCTCTTTGAAAACCTCTTCTGGTAATGAACCAAGCCGTTCAAGATTAATTGCATTAAAATGATGCTTTCATTTTTACAAGATGCTGTCATTATCTTCGAGTTCACTCTTATGTAAACAAAATCGGTTAACATAGTTGGTGTCAATTTATTCCTTTTTTGGTTTGTGTTCCTTAAAAAACACATCAATTTCTTTCGCAGAGCTACATGGTTGGCTTAAAATTTGAATAGCAACCATTCCAACCAGTGGAATGCTTTCTCCACATACTTCCCACCAAACTCCTACATTATGAGAAAGTTTTTAGCCACAATTCAAGATAGAATTATAAGTGGAATAAAATTTGTTTTCTTAAAATAATGACAAAACTAATAATACAAGAAAAAACTTACGAGGATGAGCTTTTGACAATAATTCCATTGCAACACCATCAATCAAATACATTTAGATCCCGCGTAAGATACTTCAACAACTCTGAAAAGAATACATTCTTGTGCTCTTTCTGGATCATTGTATCCGAAATCAAGGCAATACCAGCCTTCACTTCAGTATTGTCAAGTTTAACAAACCCACGACACACTAAAGATGGATTAAGAAATGCGACAACAACCTGAATGGGGTGAATTATATTTTTCTTTCGCCTCTTTGTAAAATTCTTCAACAATTCAAGATATCTAGACTCATTACCATTACAAGTTCTCTTTAGTGCTTCCCTTGCCTTTTGTATTGCTTCATATAAATATCCCATGGTTGATCCCTCACTATCAACTAAACGAAGCCTTTGATAAGAGGCTCTAAATGCTGTGATTATATTTATCACATCATTCAAAAATTTGGAGCTATGAATTATTTCTGTGATTTTTTTCCCCATTTTTACTCTTGTTATAACTCATAGCTCTCCATTCATATGATGCAACCATCAATCTTAAATCCTCTTCTACTTGCAATATAGATTGAACCATAAAAAAGTTGTAAATCTAGATTTACCATACTTTTTCAATTTTCTTCCATTTGTGTGCTTTCTCATTAAATCTAAAACAATGGTATGCGGATACAAAAAACCCACTATCAACTTGCATCCTTAATGATATCTTTTATCTAAGTGGCATCCTTATCAATGTCTTTTAGAAGCAAATCTAACCTATGAGCAGCACACCGTATTTTATGAATATGAAGGAGTTTCGGTTCTGTTAGATCACCAGTAAGTACATAATTTGATCAATTGTCAGCCACAAGTTGAACAATATTTTGTGGCTCTAACTCAATGCCTTTAAGAAACATCTTTTCAAGAAATAATCCAAATCTTTTATGCTCAGATACCTCAAATACATTTATAAAAACTGACCCCTTTGGATAAGAAGCAACAACATTGAGGTATCCGACTAGAGGTTTGACATCAAACTGCATCCTGATTGAACCCATGACTCTTTTATTGAAGTTACATCTGCATCAATTTCCATCCTGAGTTCTTGTACCAATTTTGTGCGAAGAGATGAGTAACTTGTGAATGTGTAACCAACACCAAAATTGTTACATGCAGTTGCAAATGAGAATTGGTAGTAGAGGTACCAACTGATGCATTAGAATTACCAAGGTTTATCGAACTTTGATCAACATTTTGAGCATATGATGTAATTTTGTTCTTCTTCTTTGGGGGCTTAAAAGATTCCTCATGTGTCGCACATACAGCCAAAGCTTGTACATCATCAAGTACTTGAGGACAAGATTTTAGCCACAGAGAGAGAGAGGCTGTGCATTTATTGACAAAGAAGTTACTTGTGCATTTATCATGAATAATATTGCATTTAATGTTATCAATGCACAATCATTTGTTACTGTGATAAATGCATGTATCAATTTTAGTGTTGGTTACACATTGTCAAGTTATTCATCTCTTCGCACTAAATTGGTACAAGAATTTAGGACATAAATTGATGCACATGTAACTTCAATAAATGGGTTCAATTAGGATGCACTTTGATGTCAGATCTCTGGTCGGATATGAAAAATCGGTCATTCCTCAATTGTGTTGCTTCTTGTCCAAAGGGGTTAGTTTTTATAAATGCATTTGAGGTATCTGAGCAATGAAAAACTAGATTATTTATTGAAAAGATGATTCTTAAAGTTATTGAGGAGTTAGGGCCACAAAATATTGTTTAACTTAATCACTGACAATGGATCAAATTATGTACTTGCTGGTGATATAATAGAATCGAAACTCCCTCATATTTATAAGACACGGTGTGCTACCTATGGGGTTAGATTTGCTTCTAGAAGATATTGTTGAAGATGTCACTTAGGTAAAAGATGTCATTAAGGATGCTAAGTTGATAGTGGATTTTTTTTGTGTCGGCATATCATTATTTTTTTTTTTTTGAAAAAGCACATAAATGGATGGGAATTGAAAATGTATGGTAGAACTAGATTAGCCACTAACTTTTTGATGGTTCAATCTTTATTGCAAGTAGAATTGGCTTCATTGATATTTGTATCATCTAAGTGGAGAGCTATGAGTTATAACAAGAGTGAAAATGGGAAAAAAATCACAAAAATAATTCAAAGCTCCAAATCTTGGAATGATGCGATAGATACAATCACCACATTAGAGCCTCTTATCAAGGGTTTTGTTTGGTTGATAGTGATGGGTCAAGTGTAGGATTCTTATATGAAGCAAGACAAAGGGCAAGGGAAGCACTAAAGAGGACTTGTAATGGCAATGAATCTAGATATCTTGAATTGTTAAAGAATTTTGAAAAGAGAAGAGAAAATATCATTCACCCCAATCGTGCTGTTGTTGCACTTTTTAATCCATCTTTAACGTGTGGTGGGTTTATTAAACTTGATAATCCTGAAATGAAGGCTGGTATTGCCTTGATTTCAGATACAATGATCTAGTAAGAGCATAAAAATGTATTCTTTCAGAGTTGTTGAAGTACCATACGTAGGATCTAAATGTATTTGATGATGTTGCAATGGAATTATTGTCAATAGCTTATCCTTGTAACTATCTTCTTGTATTATTCGGCTTTTTAGTACTTAAAAAATAAATTTTATTTCCCTTTTAATTGTATCTTGAATTGTGGCTAAAAAATTTCTCATTATGTAGGAGTCTGGTGGGAAGGAATGGTTGCTATTCAAATTTTGAGCTAACCATGTAGCTCATCAGCATGCAAGAGAAATTAGAATGCTTTTGAGGCGACACAAACCGTAAAAAGGATTAAATTGACACCAACTATATTAACCAAATTGGTTTACGTAAGAGTGAACTCGAAGATGATGATTGCTTGTCGTGAAATGAAAAGCATGATTGTAACGCAATTAGTCTTGAACAACTTGGTTCATTGCCACTTACCCAAAAAAAACGCTTGGTTCATTGCCAGAAGAGGTTTTCAAAGATATGGAAAATGAAGACACCTCCATATATGATGATTGTGATGATGATGATGCATTGATACATGACTTGGGGCTTGTACTTTCCCAAACTCCTAACTTTTCTATTAATTCTGATGACTCTACCATGCATTATGTTTAATTTTGAATCAATCTAGGGAATTTTGTATTTAATTTCGGATGATGGGATGAGAGTCATGAGACATCTAAATTGATTGACTTAATTATATTAGTTTAGTAAAGTTTTCATGGGTGGATTACTTATTGCTGACTTTGGCATATTTTTTATTTTTTAGAACTTTAAAATTTTAAAAATTTTAAAAATTTTAAACTTATTTGTTTTTTTCATTTTGATGTTTTGAGCTTAATCCCATGTATTTGCGACATTTTTACATAAAGTATTTTTTTGATCAGTATTTTTGACCCGATTTTTTCATCAGACTTTTTACAATATATTGATATTCCCTAACTTGCTAACTATGTTGCAGGTAGCAAACATGTTAATGGTTGTTAGGGGGAGACTGAATCATTAGAACACGTACTGGGCTTATCGACTCATTGTTCCTTTGGTATGATGATGTGGTCACTCATCTTAAATTTTTGTAGATTGGCTTGGAAGACTCCCTGATTAGTGGCTTGTTTGATGTTATACTCCATTGTGCTCTTGGGGACGGCTTGTTTGTAAGTGCAATTACTTGTTATGACAGCCTTTTGGGCATATGGAGATAGTGTGATAGGCATCTTTAGTGGGGAGAGAGTTCATCAAGTTGTCTTGCGGGAGAAGATTCATGAATAGGTGATTTTCTGGTCTTTGAGTAGACATGAATTTCAAGGGTATCTGATAGTTTTATAACCTAAGGGATTTGGTGGTTGGTGGCTTTCTCTAAAAAGCCACCTTTAAGATAAATGTCTTCAACGAATGGGGAGGTGAAGATAAATTTAGTGGGAGTTTGAGGGGCAGTTTAGTGTTTGGCGATATTAGGAGTCGCGATATTAGGAGTCCACTTAGGCAGTCTGGTTAGAATTTTATTGTCATTTTTGGTGCCCCATAGATTTTTGTGATTTTTCCTATTGTGACAAAGGCTTTATTATTTGGCCTGGAATTTTGTTGGGGATGGAGGACTCACTTATTGTTGAATGTGATAGTATTAATATGATTAGGTGGGTGGCATAGTCTTGTATACCTTGGCAGTTGGGGATGATCTTTGGGAAGGTTTAGGACATCCGTTCTTTCGAGGTCAATTTTTTTTCATCATGTTTCCAGGGATGTTAATGCCGACATAAATGAATTAGCTATTGCGGTGTTACAGGTGATAGGATTTATCCAGGCGGGTTTCGGGGATCATGGAGATGAACTCTTTGGGCACCATCCATATAGGTTGCTCTTGCAACTTTAATTCTAATAAAATCTTATTACCCATTGAAAATGCTTAACGATAATATGGAAAAGGGTGAATTTATCTGTATTGAACTTGGGTATCATGATCAGCCCAATCAGTTGTTACTCAATTAGATCCCTTTAGAAACTACAAAATGCTATAAATTTTCCTACAGTTAAAGGTTTTGCTTTCAACCGTCCAATCAAGTACCAATGAGGCGCTTACAGCCACTATAAAACTTTAGATGTTAGATTGAACTCAAATTTCTGACATCTAACTTCTCATTCTCCTGCACTTATAAAAATATAATAAAATAATTCAAAAATAAAATGATCACAATACAAAATTGAAATTTGTCAGGTATTTTTTTCATTTTATTTTCAAAGATTTTATTTTATTTTTTAACCACAGATGTGCCCATGAGTTATTCACAGCCACAAAATTCATCTTGATCAGATTTGTTGTTTTTAAAAACACTTCAATCATTGTTTTTCGCTCTCAACTGTCCAATCATGATTAGATGATTGAGAGTGGAGGCATTTTACAGCAAAAAAACTAGTGTAGCATTTTGTAGCTTTTTCTTATGTGTATACAAACTTATCAATGCTAATGATGTTATTTTTGATGAAACTGTATTCAAGATACAAAATCTTTATTACAAATGGCATTGATGCATGAAACTTACTACTAATTCTTGCTACTAATAGAGAAGGGTTTTGATTGTTAAACCTAAAGACAAAGCACGGCATATTGATCACAAAAAGGAAAGGCATTCACGATAAGTGTGTCGTAGCATGTTAAAAACATGCTATGCTGCATCTCTTGCTGTTCATTCCATGAAAGGAAGGAAAGGAATAGATAAAAGAGGTCCGCCCATGACCAGTGTGTAGACATTTATTTGTGGAGGATTACAACAAAGTGAAAACGATCTTTCTATGTTCTTTTGAAAAATGTGGGGTTACAAAAATCTTGATCACGTGAGGTAATGTAACCAATATGGTTGATTTGAGGCAACTGTCACTTTTAGAATTTCAAGTAGAAGATCTTGGTCCCATGGGATATTCCTTGGATGGGAATTGGTCTGCACGCACATATGTACTCAATGAGATTAGTGTGTATATATATATATATATATATATATATATATATATATACTACACTACTACTACGTAGTAGTACGTACGTAGTTACGTTACTTACGTTACGTACGTACGTTAGTTACGTTACGTACGACAACGTACGTCGTACGTACGTAAGTAGTAAGTAACTAACTTAACTTAACTAGTTAC